AGATCATTTTTCTAGCTTTTATGTATGTTCACTTCTTTTTTAGAGCTTTGTTTTTTACTTCTGCTTCTATATACCAGCATTTTTAAAAGCTTAATTGATCGTAAGAGAGAATATGAAAGAAGAGGATTAATTAAAGTTTATTAATTAAAACGTATTATGAAAAGCATATTTTATTCGTATTATACACATGCAATATATAAACTATAGCAACGATTATGTCAAACCAGTACAGGTACATGCATCTCGATGCATTTCATGTTTTACAAAAGTATATCTATTAGCAACCGATTATGCAGTCAATTTATCCTTCATTTTACGTTTTATTTAAGTATAAACACACATGTACGATATCGTAATTGTTGTCCTCATTCGTTTGAACGCCATAATTGTACTAGCGCGATTGGTAATTAAAATTTGTGGTAATGAAAAATCGAAATTCTTCATTAAAAAAAAAAGAAAAAGGTATTTAAGCAACATTATGGTTTACGCCGAAAACCAGTCAGCTTTGGCGAATCGTGAAGATGACCGCCAAATTCTTATGTAAGATTACTTTAAAGTATCGTTTTCCCATTACTCATATCTTTTAAAATTCTAGTAAATTCTTTTAAAATTCTATATGCTCTGTTATATTTAATGACTTATTAATTAAGGAGATTGGAAGTTTACGCTCGTTTTGAACAATACTCTTTTCCGCGTATGTGAAAGATGATTGTTCATAAATAACGTATTAATTTAATAATTTGTTCTTGTTGGTTCGTTCCATGATTCAAAGCCTCGACAAAATACATGGCTGTATCAAAGTGATCATTTAGATCCTTCTGTTAATGAGAAAATGCAGCGCTCACATCTCGGTTCACGCACATAAAAAGTGACACAAGTACATGACAACGCACGCAAAGGTAATTCATCCGTAATAATCGTAAGCTCTTGCGGGAACGCGTAAACGCTCGTTTCGATATTATCTATCAGGTTACGCCCTTCTCCGTAAACTGTTTTAGCAACATTGGTCTTCAATGTATAATTAATCTGGCAAGATAGACTCGTGCGCTCGCGAATCTGGACTTCGAGTTATCTTTGTACGAAGCGCACGAGCGTTCGCATTTGTTTTATCTAATCCTTCGTTTTTTTTTTGCATCATTAAGCTCACAGCCATTGGTGGATAGATTAGAGTGGTCAACTTGTAAAAAACATATCATCAATTAAGGCCTCGTATTCGTCCACGAAGGTAGACACGATCGTGAGTGATCGATAGAAAAAGCCCTTCGGTCTCTTAAAGATCACGATCGAAGCTTTCGCTTCGCTCTTATGTCGCGCGATAATTGCGTACATTCCGACTTAGTCGACGATAGATCCAAGGTAGACGCGCGTATTGCGTTCTAATTGGAGGATGTTACTGACGTATAATAGGAAAGAAGATATACATAATATAAAGAAAAGTACCCTGAACAAATACGTTACAATTGTAACTACCAGCCGTCGTTATATGTGTACGTGTGTGTGTGTTTGCGCATGATGTGTGTATGCGTGTGCGTGTGTGTGTTGCTAAACTAAAGATAAATAAGTTACATTAATGTTATTCCTACCAGCTAAACTCAGCAACCCTAAACACGAAGGAGAGTAAGTCATACTTTGCGGTACATTCGAGACGTACGAGATGTCCCTTCGACAGAGGATGTTTATGATCGTTCGCGAGGGTGCTCGTCAAGAAATGCCACGAAAATCCACTGTTTGCACAAGTTTCCCTTATTCCGTTGCCGCTGCAGATACGTCGTAACTCGAATCTCCGTCGTTTTATAAGTATCATACGAGATTACCGATTAAACATACATACATGCGTCTGTCGCTACCTCAACAATTTTATCGGGAGAACACAATACCCATGCTGCCACGTCCATACGCAATTATCTAACTGAATTCTGCACTTGAAAATACACATCGCCACGGACGATTTACCGTACGTTCTTGATTTTCCAACGGAGGAAAAGATACGCGGCGATTCGTAGTACGACGAATATCAGCAGGAGAGCGAGGATGTCGAGGATGAAGTCGGCGTTGAGCATGTCGAGCTCCTCCAAAGTCGTCTCCGGATCCTTAAAGTGACAGTACACCTGAAAACACGCAGGATATTAAATTCAACGAGCACTAAAAATAAATTCGACCGATCGACTGACCCGAACGGCAACGTCGACGACGACAAGATTCCGGACCGCCGCGTCGATCTTATCTGGGAACACTTGAGCTTTTCCCGACCGAAGCCGTAAACGGTTAAAGCAGTTCCTTCGAAACCGTATCTGATGTAGCTGAGATAGGTGATCCATCGTAGGTAGATCGGGATCGCGTCGAAGCTAACGAAGAACCCTGAGAAGAGCAGGAACGGCACAGACATCACCGGCGCTAGAAACACGCCGTTCTGTACGTTCATCGCGGCACCGACGACGAGGCCCACCGATTGCGCGACGAAAGAGATCATTAGACAAGTCCCCAAGAACATGAAGAACCGCGTAATGTCCGCCGGTTGACTCGTGAGAAAGTACACGATGGAAAGGTACATTAAGCAAAATATCGTCTGAAAATAAGAAGAAGACGTGTGAGTCGATCTCGCTTGCCTTGGCAATGTGCCGCAGATGAACTCCAATCCGACCTCGTCAGCTGTTCTGTCCGTTTAACTTAACGACCTTACCTGAAATGGTATGTCCGAGAGGGTTATTGCAAGGTAATACGACTTCAAAGAGTACCATCTGTTGAAGTTCTCCTTTAAAAGTACAGGCAGTTCCAACGGGACTGAAAGCAAAATGAATTCAGATGTCGCGTATCCGGGTGAAACGCGAGGTCGCAGGGTCGGTGTATGCTTTAAAACCGGATGACTCACAGGATAAAATGGTGATTGTCATGGAAGTGTACATGAGAAACAGCATGTTGAAAAACAGGAATCCCAGATTGCTAAGTACTTTGGCGCCGTCGTTTCCGATGTCATAGTACAACACGCTGATTAACAACGCCACCAGAATGTGAGCGAAGAACCGCAGCCACATAAGAGTCTGCGAAATCACATATTACGGATAAGTGTCACGCGGAATTTACAGAACTTTAAAAGGTCAGAAGTTTAAAAGAAATCAGAAAAAGTGTGGAATAAAGGAATACCTCCGTCGACGCGCTGTGAACGCGCGAGTNGTCTAGTAAAAGTATGACCGACATAACTTTTAAACTATTTAGTATAAAAAAATGAGAAAAATTACACATGTACTACACAATCGATACAACGCTTTTGTACGAATAAACTGTCCAATTACCGTTGTCAATTATTACTTGTCAATATAAGCTTGAAGACAGTTGTCGATAGCTTTTTGTTTCAAACGAGCTGTTTTATCATGCCAGTTACTTCCGTGCG